TGGTGATTTCCTTGATGTATGTCCTATCCACTTCCAACGTCTTTTCCTAATTTCCTGTTCAACTGGAAGTTGGTTTGTCCTCTCACATAAAACGCTGTTGGTGATGGTATCCGGCCAGTGGATGTTGAGTATTTTGCGTAGACAACTGTTTATAAATACTTGTACCTTCCTGATGATGGCCGTAGTAGTTCTCCACGTTTCAGCTCCATACAGTAGGACTGTCTTGACGTTCGTATTAAAGATTCTGACCTTGAAATTGGTTGAGAGTTGTTTTGAGTTCCATATGTTCTTCAATTGTAGAAATGCTGCCCTTGCTTTGCCAATCCTCGCCTTTACATCTGCATCCGATCCTCCTTGTTTATCAACGATGCTCCCCAGGTACTTGAATGTTTCCACCTCTTCCAGAGTTTCGCCATCAAATGTGATTGGGTTGGTGTTCTCCGTGTTGTATTTGAGAATCTTGCTTTTTCCTTTGTGAATGTGGAGGCCTATCGATGCGGAGGCTGTTGCTACATTTGCTGTCTTCATCTGCATTTGGTCGTGTGTATGAGAGAGGAGGGCTAGGTCATCTGTGAAGTCCAAATCATCTAATTGATTCTGAGAAGTCTATTGTATTCCGTATTTCCCTTCATATGTCGAAGTCTTCATAATGAAGTCAATCACCAGAAGAAAGAGTAATGGGGAGAGTAGACAGCCTTGTCTGACTCAATTACAGAATAATATCGTATAAATAATCATCGAGAAATAAGGGTAAATTTCAAATACATCAAACATCAGCTTACTTAATGATCACCTATTTACCTAGGATTCGGCTCCAATGTGAATATTTTATTATTTATAAGAAAATCCAAAACCTGTAAAGATTATGTTAGTTGTCAACCAACAACTTAGTAATGATAATAATGGGTGCTAATTGTATTGTTTCACGAACTGAATGATGTTTGAGATGTGAAACAAAATGGAGTTTAATTCAACTGTTTAACTTTATTTCGGCTACAACAAGATTTAACAGGTTCAACTCATTACACAGTAGTAAGTGAATGTTTCAAAATAGTTGTAAATGAGATTAATGAACGTGTAGGATATTTAATAGTTCAATAGGTCAGTCTATCAAGTAAACTAACGATAAATATTTGAAAGCAATCCACATGAATTGTTTCCATTCTAGTACTGCAAAATTTTCTTGTTAAACTTAATTGGTGAAGATTGGTTGTTTTTTTTAACACCATATTATAATCACTCAGTGTTACACTGATAATCCAGCTTATTCATTTTATAAACTGTTTTCTTACCTCTTATTGGGTGATCTGATTTTAAAAAATATCCTGATTAATGAAGTTTGATAATGTTAATTGTGAGACACTTCCCTATCAATGTCATTGAAATGTACGTCGTTTTATTATAAATCTAGTCACATGAATTCAAATGTATAAAACATTGATTACCAACTGAGTAGTCATAAAGATCAAATGCTCCTGTGTTTACTGGAAGTTTTAAGCTCAATCTGTGGTTGGGGTCGTGAATGTAAACCGTTGTGGAGTCCCGTTTTAGGATGAAACAACTCTGTAATGCATTCAGAGTTCCAATGGTTGATTAACTAAGATCAATTTATAATGTACACTGTAATATAACTAGGAATAGTTCATCTGTCATTGAAGTGAATACTCAATTCAAATATTATTTGCTAACTCTTATTCAGTGAACAATTTTAATTATGTAAAAAAACCTAAGGATCATTTATCATTGAGGCAAAGAAAATAGAATTTTATTTATTATTTCTGTATAAGACTAAAACCGTTGAATCTTTTGAGAATGGGGAAATATTTTGACATTAATCTATGAGTGGTAATTAACTAGATGCTGTGATACATTCATGTGACGTAGTTCGCGTCAAAAACTGACTCTTTAAAGGACCATTGAGATTTTTTAATAATGTATATCAATAACCCTACTAGTCATTGAACTCGAGAACAATCAAATCATCAGGAAAGTATTCAGGTTTCATAACACTACATTGACATCCAATGGTTTAAATTTTTAACTTCAATCGATTCATGTTATTTCTGTGACCAGCTGAATTCAGTCATCTAACGAACAAACCAGTCACTTAGTAACAGTATCAGATGGTTGGATAATAGCCCCAATTGACTGAGGTTAAAAATGAAAATCATTTCATGTTAACTCAGTGATCTGAAAGTTAAGAGCCCTATGAACGAACAATTAGAAAGATTTTTATGGATTGCTTTTGAGTATTTAAGAAAGTCAATATTTATTGTTGGTTTACGTGATAGATTGGCATGTTGAACTATTCAGTATCTTATGAAATTCTACATGTTTTTCAATCTTATTTGCAACTATTTCGTAACATTCACTTACTACTGTGTGTTGAGTTGAAACTGCCCCCAAATGCCTTGGTACGGCCGAGAGTGGGGAGAGTTCGCTCTCCCTATCGAAATGCTCTGAAATGGCCACGCGTATATAGCCTGTACCAGGGAAGTCACACTCACTGCCTTTTCGTGACGGGGGTGTTTTTTACGAAATTCAGAGGACGAAAAGCGAATGTCTGGCGCTATAACCGGGTTGGTGGACACAGAAAGTTAACCTGGGGGAGTTGGAAAACCCTCATTCCAAACCAATGGCTCCAGTATTCTGAGGTAACAAATGGCGTATGAACCAATCGTGGGTCACCGATTACAATGGTACTGCATCTTCTCACGATGCTCCACTGCCTTTTGGATCAGACCTTTAGGTTAAAGACTTGGGGTGTGGCTCCTTAAGAAAACCACCTGTTTCGGCCTGGGCACCCAGGCAGTATCTTAGCCCTCACACAATTAAATGAAATAACAATTTTTTGTGTGGCGCATACATATCTGTTGCTTCTTTGTACCAATATTTATGTGTTCAAATAAATAAATATAATAAATGACTTGAGCTTGCTAAATATTGTCGCAGCCAAAATAAAGTTAAACAGCTGAATTAAACTCCATTGTGTTTCACATTTCAAACATCATTCAGTTAGTGAAGCAATATTCACTATCGTAGAATCCTACATTAAGATATAACTCTTTTCCAGTGCTTCACAGCTTTCCTTTAAGATAGATCAATTCATGATGTAAAATTTGAAGTAAAATAATCTTTACAAACCTTAACACTCAAAATATCCTAGTTCATTGCTTCTTTAAATTAGTTGTAGTATGTTAACTTATTATTATTATTATGAAAAAAACTATTTTGCTAATGACTTATTTTCATAGTTGAAACCGTGAGTCAGTTGAAGCTAGACCACCAAGGAAAACCTGGAAGCACTGGATGGTCGTTTTGTCCTACCATGAGACTCCTCAGCAGTGCGCACATCTGTTGTGAGATATCAACTCACTGATGACAATTGGTGAACGGTTGCTCAACTTCGTGGATCAGTTGAAGTTAGACATTAACACTGTTGGATGCCGGCTCAGTGGTTTACCGGTTAAGTGCTCTGGCGCGAGACCGGTAGGTCCTGGGCTCGAACCTCGCGAGGCGAGGTAGTGGATGCACACTGCTGAGGAGTCCCACAGTAGGACGAAACGGCTGTCCAGTGCTTCCAGTTTCCCATGGAGTTCTAGCTTCAATTGACTAATGCTTTGAACTGTGAAAATACTAAATCTCCACAAAACCCCTTCTGATAATATTAATGAATAATTATCTGTTGCATTTTACTGTTTAATGTAATTGTTTAGTGATTGAAAATTAATTGAACATCGATTACATCATAGTTTCTAATTACGTAACAAGAACCGTTTTTAAAATTCCACTTTATATTGATACATTGTTGACCACCCTTTCACTGCCTACTACATGACATTCGATATGAAAGCTTTTAACACTGATTCATGCAAGAAATGTTCTTTTCCAATATTCAATAATGAGTACCATATCCAATTTACCGAATTTTTTTATTACCATAGTAAACAACATCAACTATTACTTTTTAATTTCTGAAATAAACAATAATTATCATTTACTTAATGTGATATCACTTGTGACAATACTCCATGCAAAACAAATTAGGTGAGTAGTTACTGAAAATTTTGGCTAGTCGTTTCTCATTATTGATTGATATCTCAGTTATTCAGATCTTTCAGCGTTGTTTTTTCCAAATTAGTTCTCATATTTTGATGGAGTTTTGTTCTTTGAGCTAGATAGTTTGGTCGGGGAGCTTTCATTGTCCTTCTGATCGACATCATCAGCACAAACTTCGGGTAGAAGTGAAGTGTTTGAATTTCTCTACATGTGGTCCACAGCTTGTACTGTACACCTCGATATTGATTGGTTCATGTCGACCTTAAATCTGTCATTGTTTATTTCTTGGTTTTGGTTCTACCCGAAGTTTGTACTGATGATGCCGTTCGGAAGGACGATGAAAGCTCCACGAGCTTTGAGAAAAAAACTCCGTCAAAATCATCCACCTGAGTTTCAAATCTACTCCACTAACTCTCATATGTTTAGAATAAACAAAAATAATTCAGATTATAAATGATATGGTTATGCATTTGATAGTGTATAACTTCAACAAATGATGATATCATACGGTGATGTTCAGAGATTACTTTTAAGTTTCTATCTCAACTGTGATATTTAACTGTAATATTCACTAAATTCAAGCCCTGTGTAATGATAAGCAAAGATGGACAGTGGCTAGCAGTGGAATCCAGGACGCGCTTTTCGTTCTATTTGGGATTCGTCAGCTGGATATATCTGTATCTCAAAATTGATGTTCACTCCAAGTCTGTTAGCCACCGTCCATCTTTGCTTAAAATGCTTGTGACTTATGGCAATATCGTGGCTATCCTTTCAGGATCCATATATGTTAATAAGAGACTGATCAGTCATAGTCACAAATAGCAATGGAAAAATTCAAATAAACAATACAAGATGAATATATGTAATGATGTTTGTTTGTTTTTTTAAACGTTTTCCAATGGATTATCGTAAATTATAAAATAAAATGTCTAATTATTCACCTCAACATGAAGGGTAACTCGACTAATATGAGTTGGATCAATTTCTTCGGCTACTTTTAATATAAATATATTTGGATTGGGCAGCTTCACTGGCGGTTGGTCTAGAAAAAATAATGTACAAAAAGAAAAAAAAATCAAATAAGTTTGAAGCTTGTTTTCATCAAATCTAAAATACTTTTGTATTATACAATAAAAAATTTGAAAATCATACATTAAGTAAATCATTTGCACATCTTTGAATCGTTTTTTACAAACTTCAATTGTCCTTTATATGCTTCAATATTTTTTTCATTCTGTTCCCCTACATATTCTGTTCAATTCAATCTTCTTCTACCAGCCATTCCACTGTCAATCGCGGCTACATACTACTTATATCTGTCAGCATGTATATATATATATATATATATATATATATATATATATATATATATATAATCACTCCCAAACTTATTAGGTTACATTTACCTTATGTATATGTTATGTGTTGAATGAACACTGATGTGGACATTTGTTAGGAATGCGGTAAAATTGATTATCTATTACTTGTCATTTGTTTAATCTGGTTGGCTTTTTTTAGCAAGATTTATTCGATAGTATGGGGTTGTCGACCCCATGCCCAACCCTCCTCCTTTATGTGGGCTTGGAACTGACAGTAACTCTAGAAGAGCTACAGGCAAACTCTAACTTGGAATCTTGAAGTGTAACGGAAAAGAGGAAAGCCGAAAAACACACTGCATCGTTTATTGTAAGCAGACATAAAATGGATGTATAACAACTGGAAACTGTTGCCCAGGACAGAGTTGAATGAAGAGTACTGGTCGACAGCCTATGCTCCTCCATGAGGGATAACAGGCGTATGTAAGTAAGCAAGTAAGTAAGTAGTTACTTGTCAGAAATGAACAAAGATTAATATGGTTAAATGAAGGATAGAACATAAAATTTATGATGGAGATTTCACTATACATAATTCAATAAATGCACAATTAATTCAACCACTAATAATAAATAACGTCTAATTTATGGTTATATTTCATTACATTGAACCTGAGCTATACTTGATAAAAAATAATCCACAATGTTATGGATGTTTACAATAGTAATAGATTAAAAGATTTTAAATCTTGTCCTCTTCCTAATGACGTATATCGTTTACATTGAATCGACAAATTAATAAGTACAATAAGTACAACAATTACATACATAATAATTATACCCAGAATTAGTATATACAAAGTGTGAATTATCAAATTGTAAGGATGGCTCGTTGGCAAACTCAAGGAAGCCTTAAGAAGCCTAGAAAGAGCCCTGCTAGAGGAATATTCTAGAATGTCGATGTGTAGCCTCCCCTATGTGCCTAATGGTTGTCCGAAATGATGATTTACTTTCAGTCAAAAACTATAAATACATGAGATTTTTGTGCTATATTGGACACTATGTTGGGAATAACATTCCTACTTACTAGTCTTCGGTCTTCTCTCTTGCGATGTTGTGGGTTCTATCATTCAAGTAGTCTAGTAGTACGTGGCATAGCAAGAATCTAATCTCTATATGTAACACAAATTAAGCTAGAAACTTTCAACATTATGAAATAGATATCAGATTATAAAATGATAAAGTGTAATTTCTATATTGTTAAGTAAATAATGATACAACGAACTAATCAGTTGAATCATTTCAGTTGATTGTTTATGAAATAGCAGAATTATAAGTCAACTAATTTATATAACATAATAAAAACCTAGATGATCTGGATATATGTTTCACTGTAGTAAAGAAGTTTAATGAAAAACTATGAGGTAGTTGCCTACTTATAACATCGAAATGTAGTTGTGTAAAAGTGCAAATGGACTGCAGTTAAAATTGTAAATTAGTAATTTTAAGGTTACAATCTAATTGATAGATCTAAAGGTCTTGATTAAGGTCCTTGGTAAAGTCGTAGATGTGAACTGTTGAGTAGTCTAATTCTAAGATAACACACCTAATCTGTACTTTCTGGTTTTCACTGATTGTTTAACCAGGAATAGTCCATGATGTACACTGAACTATGACAGTGAATAGTACACAAACTTGTTTTTAATGATTTACATATTTTTTGTAATTCTTATTAGTCATCAAATTTTTTACACTACATTCAATATACTAAATTGTGGTTGTTGATCGCTCATGAAATAACATCAGTATGACGAAGATAAATTATTGTTATGAAAATAACAATCGTACAATGTGTTACATGTCGAAAAATGTTTTAAAAGAAAGAAAATCGTTTGTTTGTTGTAAAATCTCTATCTTTGAAAGGAAGAAGTTGAGTTGATTGAATACTGTAACATTGTAGATTAGTATGGGGTATATCCCATTCCAATAGTGAAATTATATCAGCATCATTTTTATTGAAATTAGCTTTTATTCTCTCTTTGCAGACAGTTTATTTATTTATTTAAACACATGAACTTTAGTACATGAAGGCACCACATATATATGTGTCACGTTTCGTCATTCAATTTTTGTGGAAGCTCGAATACTGTCCGAGCTCTCAAACAGAAGCACATGGTTTTTAGGGGGGCCACTCTCTGAGCCTTTGACCTACGGATCTAATCCATAAGACAGTGGAGCAATACTACGAGATACATTCCAATTGTGACCGGTGACCAACAATAGATTTATGCTCCATTTGTTCCCTCAGGATACTGGATCTCATGTACACTATTCGTTTGAAGTCAGTGTTTTCTAACTTCCCTAGGTGGATCCTACCTATCCAACGAACCTGTTAAAGAACTGCACACTCACCTTTCGTCCTCTTAATTACGTAAATAACACCCCTACGCTGATTCAATACTTCTCGGGTGTATAATCCAATTATCCCAACGAATATCAGAAATTTTAACGGATAATGGTTATGTACAACAACTGTAATGGTGTCCATCAGGACGACGTACGTTGTATATTGTCTCATCTCCTTTAGTTAATGAACGCCTCTGTCTTTTTAAACGTTGACGATATTTAATTTCTATAACAATCTTATATATATTTATATAACTCCGACTGTAGCTCTTCTAGGGCTACTGGCGGTCCGAAACACGGGTAAAGGAGGAGAACCGGGCATGGGATCGACAACTTCACCCTGTAGAAAACAACCCAACTACAAAAGTAAACGCTAACCAGTCACGAGGCCGATACCCCTTGTAACAACTAGAGCAACAATTATTATAGGTACGTAGAACGTTCGGACAATGTGGGAGACCGAGAGAACCAGTCATGTGGCTGACGAAATGAGGAGATACAACTTGGCGGTCCTCCTTCTACGAAAAAAACGATTGAAACAAAGCTGGACAGAAAAGATTCGATTCGGCTGTAGTGCTGTTGTATTCTGGTCATTAAGAAGAAAACGCTTCAAACACACAATGAGTTCCACTGATGCTGTCCAAGGAAGCACGAAATGCATTTATAGGATTGGAATCTCATGGATCCAGAATCATCAGAGCATCCTTCAAAACAAATAAGGAGGAAATTACAATGAATATTATCCAATGTTATAAACCCACCAATGATAGCAATGACGAAGAAAAATATCAGTCCTACGAAAGGCTGCAATTGATCATAACGAAGTGCTCATGAAAGGACCTGACAATCCTGGTGTGAGATCTAAACGCCGAAGTCGGGGTGGACAACGCTGGATATAAAGATATCATGGGACGACATGGACTGAGAGAAGGAAACAAGAATGGTGAGAGATTTGCAAATCTATGTGCATTCAACAAATTGGTTAAAGGTAGTACAATATTCCCACACAAGCACATACACATAGCTATACGAGTCTAACCGCACCACACCATGGAGAGTATCAAAGCCGACAAGCAGAAATACGTGCAAGAGCAACGACAGTGAGAGAAGCTGCAAGAGAAGGAAATATGGAATAGCTGTATGACACGACGAAGAAAGTGACAGGGAAATATAGTACACCAGAGAGACCAGTCAAGGACAAGGAAGGCAAGACAATCACTGAAATTCAAGAACAGAGGAACATATAGGTGGAACGCTTTGAGGAACTTTTGAATAGACCAGTTACATTGAATCCACCGGATATCGGAGCAGCACCTACAAACCTTCCTATAAATGTCACTCCACCAACGATCGAAGAAATCATGTTGGTCATCGAACAAATGAAGTGTGAGCATACAGCAGGATCTGACAATATATCAGCCAAAGTACTGAAGTCATACATAGGAGTAACTGCAAACATGCTACACGTTCGATTTATGAAGGTTTGGGAGGAAGAACAAGTGCCGACAGACTGGAAAGAAGAATACCTCATCAAGATGCTAAAGAAAGAAGAGTAAATGTGACAACTACAGAGGCATCACACTGTTTTCAGTACCAGGAAAGGTTTTCAATAGAGCGTTGCTGAACCGGATGAAAGATTCAGTAGATGCCCAACCTCGAGATAAACAGGCCGGATCCCGTAAGGATCAGTCGTGCACAGATCGAATCGCGACACCACGGTTCATTGTTGAACAATCAGTTGAATGAAATTTGTTACTATACATCAACTTCATCGATTATGAGAAAGCATATGACGATGTGGATAGGAGAGCATTATGGAATCTTCTTTGACACTGTGGAGTACCTGAGGAAATCATCAGCATCATGTGGAGTTCATACTTCAGACTACAGTGCAAAATGGTGCATGGAGGACAGCTGACAGATGCATTCCATGTGCGAACCCGAGTCAGACAAGGCAGCACTCCCTTCCTTTCTTTTTCTTCCAGTGGTCGACTGAATTATGAAGACCTCGATGTATGAGGGGAAGCATAGAATAAAATGGACAGATTGGATGCAACTGTAAAATTTAAACTTCTCAAATGATCTAGCTCTTCTATCCCATACACACGAACAAATATAGATGAAGAAAACTAGTGTAGCAGCAGCGTCTGCATCAGTAGGCCTCAGATACACAAGGGAAAAAGCAAGATCCTCAAATTCAACATGAAGAATACTAACCCAATGACACTTGATGAAGAAACTATGGAGGAGGTGGAAAGTTTCACGTACCTGAGAATTACCATCGATGAAGAAGGAGCATCGAATTCAGAAGTAAAGGCGAGGA